AAGCTCCTTCCAAACATCATGGAAAATGAACAGACAGAACGGCCGTTAACAGGCGTGGAGACAGGGACTGTTCAAGGGCATTTAACGATTATATAAGGAAAGAAAGAATAGTAGTAGTAGATCTGACAGCAGCGCAAGGTTCAACCAAAGTACATGGTGACGGAGCGGATTCAGACAGCGATCAATAATAGTAATAAAAAAATAAAAAAGTGGCAACACGGGCGAAAAGAGGGTGCTCGGAAGGGGAAAGACAGGAAAAGCGTCAAGTCAAGCTAAGCAGAGGCAGAGTAACAGTAACCGGTATTACCATCAACAGCAGCCTGCAGGCTCTTCTTTAGAGACAGACTTTGGCTGACGGTGGCCGCAGCGGGCCTGGAAGTCGTACTTAACGGGCCGGACGAGGAAGGCGGGTTTGTCAGACTCATGGACGAGGTGGAGGCGACCGGAAAAGAGAGTCAGAGGCAGAGAGCGTGAGGGAGGAAGGAGAGATGATGATTAGTTCGTTAGGGGAAAGTGGTCAGGTCAGAAGAGGGTACTTTTAGGCTATCCGTGGGAACTGCAACGCTGCGATGGAGTCCGGGAACCCTACGCGGAGACACTGATCTCCACCACTATGGGGAAAGCACAAAAGGTCCAACAGCAAGCCTGCAGGAGGAGAGATGGTCAGTGAGTTGAGACGGACCAACACGCGCCGAGAGGAGTGGGAAAAAAACAAGAAGGACTCAAAGCCAAAAAGGCAAATAAGAAGGAAACACCGCAAAGCCAAAAGCCAAAAACCGGCGCCAAAGAGTGAGTGAGTGAGTGAACTGGAAAGAGTGAGGCTGCATCGGAGGGAAAGTGGCTGACTCATCACTCTGAGCCCTCCCCTCCTCATCCAAGCCATCAATCCATCTATCAACAATTACACGATAGATAATAACACTCGTCCTTTGTAGGAGTTTGAACCCTGTCTGGCTTGTGTTTCTACAATTGACCTATCTCAATCATAAACTGCTGACTTCCATCCTATATTTCTCCTAAATATACCATCTGCAAGCCATCCACTGCACTCCCTCCTGTTGATAAGACTCCTCCCCCTGGATTCCCCCCCGATAACGCGGAGTTTCCTTGTCCCGATTATAGACGCCCATCCGCAACGTCATCAACACGCTTGCTCTCCGACTGACTGCCATTCCCTTCCATTCGTCCAGGTGCAATGACCGGGTAACAGCAAATCCATCCCCCATTTACTGACCGAGAGCTCTGTGGATTATTGAGACCCCCCCGTACTCAACAACGTCTCAAACCACAATCATGGTCTCTCCAGAGCCGATCCGATCTCGGGTCACGCCATACTTGATCTACCTCGTGTTTATCACAACATTAGGACCACTCCAATTCGGTTATCACCTGGTAGGTTTTACCCTTTCCACATCTACAACCTCAATCTCCCCCGGCTCATACTGACACTTACTATCCGACAGGCCGAACTTAATGCCCCTCAGGCGGTGATCACCTGCGAGCGGAAGAGCATCCATGCCTCCACCGAGGCACTCTCTCTACCACAATGTATCCCCATGAACGCTTCGCAATTCGGCCTGGTGTCGTCAATCTACACCCTTGGTGGACTCTTGGGAGCCCTGCTGGCAGGGCCAGTTGCCACCAAACATGGTCGCCTCTTTGCTCTGCGAGCAACCACGCTATTCTTCATCCTGGGCCCCGTGGCTGAAACATGCGCATCCAGCATTCCCCTTCTAAGTCTGGGCCGGCTGCTGTCCGGCATTGGAGCAGGAGCTGCGATTGTCGTCGGCCCCATCTACATTTCCGAGATCGCTCCACCCAGCGCCAGAGGTTTCTTTGGTGCCTTCACGCAGGTCATGACCAACGTCGGCATCCTATTGACCCAGTCCCTCGGATACTTCCTAAGCGAGGGCAGCAAATGGCGATTCATCCTCGCCATCGCCGGCTTCATCGGAGCCCTCCAGCTCCTTGGTCTCACCCTAGTCCCAGAAAGCCCCACCTGGCTCGCCGAGCACCAAAAGAGCAGTCTAGCCAGACAAGTCCTGCAACGGCTGCGCGGAAAGGACGCAGACATCGAAGAAGAAATCGAAGGATGGCCATCCTCAACAGCAGGACCAACAGATGATATCTCCGGCGAAGAGCAATCGCTCCTCACGCCACCATCCGGCAACATGCCACCCAAACAACCCCCCGTCACCATCTTCCACGCCATCACTAACCCAACCTACCGACCAGCCATCATCGCCGTCGTCGGCGTCATGGTCTCCCAACAATTCACCGGCATCAACAGCATCATCATGTACAGCGTCTCCCTCTTACAGACCATCCTCCCCACCACCGCCGCCCTCCTCACCGTCATCATCTCCGCCATCAACCTCATCATCACCCTCGCCTGCTCCCCTCTCCCCGACAAAATCGGCCGTCGGGCCTGCCTCCTCCTCAGCATCACCGGCATGGGATTCAATTCCATGCTCCTAGCCCTAGCCATCTACTTCAACCAAAAGGTCCTCTCCGCTATCGCCGTCCTCCTCTTCGTCTCTTGCTTCGCCGTCGGCCTAGGCCCCGTCCCATTCATCCTCGCCTCGGAGCTCGTCGGCCCCGAAGCCGTCGGCGCCGCGCAAAGCTGCGCCCTAGCTGCCAATTGGATCGCCACTTTCGTAGTAGCCCAATTCTTCCCCATGTTGAATGATGCCCTGGGCGGCCGTGGCAAGATCTACTGGGTCTTTACGGGCATGGCGTGTCTCCTTGGTGGGTTTATCTATTGGCGTGTTCCGGAGACGAAGGGGAAGGCTAGTGCGGATGAGGTTTGGGGGAGAGATGAGCGTCAACGACGACGACGGGATTGAGTTGAGATTTGAGTAGCTTTTGGGGTATGTTATTGTTTCGCGTGCGTATTACTAATGTGTATCGTCCGTTACATACCTATTTGAGAGTGGCCTACAGTATGGGTTATATAGCATTCAATTGATCAATTAAGGAAGATTATGTAATATTAGTAGGCTTGGTTATGACATGACATGCTCGTAGGGCTTGCTCTCACTTTCGTCCTGTAATCGGTACTCAGGCAGAAATATGCTATGGGTGTGTAAGTTTGTGATAGCACTGCGAAAATGTATGTGTGGAAGGCAGATGCTTCACAGGCAATCCAAGTAATAACTAATTTGCTTTCAGATGAGTCAACTGCTTTGTTAAACCTGAACGCTAATGTGATATTAGAGTAGTAGTATGTTCTTAGTTAAATATCAGACATGAAACTAGCCCGCCAATGCAACAAGGTAGTAGAAGATATCCCAGTCTAGCCGCTATGCTGTATATATACCTGCATCTCGTAATCGACAGAAAGAAAAGCTCTAGTGATGAATCCGCAAATGCTAACAGACATGTCTAGTCATAACGTCAATCATTCATATCCAACACTTCATGTTGCATCATGGTGAAAATTATGAAAACATCCGTATCGATCTGCACGCACTGCAGATTCATACAACCCCCATGCCCAGCATCACTTGCTAGCTGACATTTGTGGCGGGGCGCGTGGCTGTATCTCCATTGACGCAGCAGACTCCTCGGTAAACGCCTTCATCAGACTGTCTCTTGCTTCTTCAGGATCCCAGGCCGCGGCTTTTTCGCCGCAGTTGTGTTTGGCCTCATCTAACCATATATCCCATGCGGTGGTCGACGGGGCCAGGCCTCCATTTCGGACCCATGCAATCTCCCCGGTCTCCCGAATAGCCTCCCACAAGGCTTTAGTGTAGTTCTTCGGCTTTGCCGTTCTGACTGTCTCCACCTTATATCGGCTTTTTAAGTCCCACATTTCCCCCGGATCCATCAGCAAGGCCAGGGCAAAGTATAGGATATTCAGGATGATGTATGCGACGCCGACGGCAATCTGCATCGTCCATCCGCAGTTACTGAAGAGAATAATTGCCGCCATGAGAAGGACCGTGCTGCAAGCCAAAAGTGCTTGGTGGCCTCGAGTCTTGAAAACGTAGCGACAGCTTTCGGCTCCCCCGTACAGCTCTCTCGTTATCTCTTCGGGGCATTCTACCACAATAAAAGCCCCGTTACGGGTCTTCATGACAATATCCCCCTTCGGTACCTTTTTTTTTGTCGTACGGGTGCATAGCCTCGGATACCATTGCGCAGATAGGCAGGCAGCGCTGGTAGACAATGACATGGCGGCGAGGGCGACGAGGGCCACGCCGTCGTGGATCATACCTGCCCAGATGAAGAGGCCGATGGTCATTAGAATTGAAATCAAGGTCACTAGATTTAGCGCACTGAGCGACTTCAACGGGACGGTGACCTCTTTCGTGTCGTCGTGCGGCTGGTTTTTTTGCTCGGCATTATTTTGCGTTCCTCCACTCTCGACATCGTCCACCTCTGCTGCGCTTTTGTTGGTGCCCTTCTCCGATTCCTGATATGTAATTTTGTAGGACCGAAACTCATATTCCTCCAGCTCCTGGAGCTTGTGGATGACGTTGGCGAAAAAATTGAGTTCGGTGAAGTGCGTACCGGATTTGACGCCAATGATGGTGACCTCCTTGACAGAGGGGAGTCGGTTGGGCCGATCTGTATCCAGCAGTGATTCTGGGGCGGGTAGGATACGTGGGAACCCGGCAAATCGGGACGCCGTGATTGCCTGCTTATGCTTTTCAATAGAGGATCCTCCGATAATGGCCAGAAGGGAGACGATATCAAAACGCCAGCTCTGTGCTTCGGAATCGAGGATCGTCGGAAACCAGCCCATGTTGTCTTCAAATCAAATTATGGCAGTAAATATCTGCAGGAATGTGCCCGAAGGATAAAGTTTGCTGCAGAATCACTGTCCAAACATGGATATGAAGTGATTCTTCCAGCAAGATGGCGGGGTATTCGATGGACCATGTAAATGTAGGTCACGGAGAGTTGGCAAAGGTAAGGAGTCTTATAAGCATCAGTGGAGGAACCCAAAGGAAGCACTGCAATTTTTGGCGAGCAGAAAGTCTTGCCTTGGCCAATCGATCGACCGCAGCACAAGCTGCCAGCCACATGGACTCATATGATAGGTGGCTTTAGGTGTACGGCTGAGGTTGACTTGCATCCCGAATTGCTGGTGCATTAGCGGCCAGCCTAGTCGTGGACTCGACTCGGCCGCCCACAGCTTAACTGCATCAAAGCCTCAGTCAGCTGGAAGGCGGTATGGATGCATCAAGAGAGGGGGAGAGGCGAGTTCATCTTGCCCAACAGGCCAGAGACCCGTCAAATAGTTTTGCAGTTGTTGAGTATCTGTTTTGCGTGGATAGCTGGAGGAGAGCCGACCAGGAGCGTTAGCTTGAAACTCCAGTGGCTGGGTGCCGCGAGAGATCTGAGTTCGTGGCATCGATAGAGACCCTTGAACGTAGCAATCGTTTGGCTCATCACAGGAGTTAGTATGCTGCAGTTCATCCCAAATTAGGTCAAAGGCAAACAACTAACCATGTCAGAGGTCCCTGTTTGCTGATCAGCCTTAAAGTGATGGCTCGACAAGTGTACTTCGAACCCACTCAGCTGAGCGACGGTCGCTCCTGCCCTCCCTTCCCTATTACACTAGCTTGGGTAGCTATGAGCTGTTGTTTCGTCAATACGTTGGTTTGGGATAGAGGATTTGATGTGAAAGTGTCAGGTTGGGGTGGAAGAGGAACTCTTAACTAGTACTACCATGTTGCGGTAGCACTTACTGTAAATACTATGGCGAAGAACGGCTCTTGTCTGTACAGCAATGACCCCGCCAATGCACAGCACAGCTGCTGAGCCGTGCTGGACGGTCAGTGAAAATTCCGCCTTCAATCCATAGAGGTGATCTACACAGTATTTCTCTGGGATCGATTGCGAGGTCGGCGTTAACCCGCAAGTAGCAGTTTACTCCGCAGCAAGGGACTGTGCAAAAACGTGTCGCTTCGGGGGAACCCCAGGGCTGACGGGAAGGAACTGTTGGTGGTCGTACAAGAAATAAATTGGATCCTGATTGAGCCAGGTGATAGACGGATGTATCTTGTAAAGCCTTATTCCGTACGATGCGCAACCAGCTTGAATGCTCCGTCAACTGACCAGTCACTTTCATCATTCTTCGTGACTTAAGTACGTAGCTTGAGCTTCGTTCAGACAAGCATCCATGGTTTAGATAAATATTTTTTTTCTCGGTGAGAACTTCACCGATAGTGAAGTCCGCCTAAGCACAAACTATGATCATCTGCTACACGTAGCTAATTATCGACAGTCAAGACCCCTAAAGCTGCAAAGCATTTGACCGATGGGCCGAACCATGGTTCAAGCATGAGGAGGTGGAGAGGAAAACTACCTAATTCCTTTGTGTTTCTGGAGAGATCCAACCCGGAAACTTCTAGAGTGACTTCATTTTCACCGCCTCCAGGCAGCCATCTTTAATCGGCGGAGCTTCCGACAGTCCCAGTCCTTGATAGACTAGTCACACAGTACGTACTCATATTTCCTTCCCTTCCCCCTTTTACGGTTATTCATTGACATGTTGACTTACTCCGGGGGTGGGGGGTTACAGGGCTGAAGCAGGGACAGCGAGGCAGTGATCCATAGCCCCTCCGTTGTCGTCTTTGCCCGAGTGAATCTCACGTTAGACACATCCATTGGATGCTTCCGGATCGAGGGGCAGTCGATCTACTGGAATGGATTTGCTCTCATTGGATCTGAGCCTTGGATGAAACTATGAGGGGGTTCTCAGATGACGTTCAGGCAGCAAGAAATGTGCTCGGCATAGTAGTAATTGGATTTGGATTCCGATGTTCCGAACTTGGCCAGTGGATGAACTCTCCAGATGTAGAGAGCATACGACCAGGTGGAAGAGTTCGGAAATAGCCACAACTCCATAGCCACAACCCCATCCACTCTACGAAGCAGTAGTACTACGTACTAGGCTGCCAGTTTTCCTTTCCTTTCTCCATTTCACAAGACTCATAATCACTCGCCCGGTGGGCCTGAACGTCTTATCTACCAGCTTTCCACTTCTTCCAGCACCTTCTAGCCCTATAGCAATCGACGAATTACCAGTATCCAATTTAATAGGAGGAGTTTCAATCATCCAGGGCGTAACCGGCGGCTTCCGCAACTCCTCACTTGCTCCCGTTGTTGGGAACTGGGGATTCGCTGCAGCCATCAATCTTGTTGTAGCTTCCAAAACTTCCAAAACAGCAGAATAAATTAGAGTCTTGGGAACTCCGAGGTTCAAGTACAAGAAGGAGCCCATCGAGGAGGACTCAAAAAAAAAAAACTGGGACTCACGGACTTGACTGACTGACTTAAACAGTACGACATCCACCCCAAAAACCCCCACTCACAATACGAGTGCTGCTGCTGCAGTCAGTCAGTTGCTGTTGTGCTTTCCTTCTCCTTTTTTCCCAGACCCAGTTTCCGTCTCCATCGTCGATTATTCATAGTACGTACTCCTTAGCTTTGATTATTATTATTATTGTTATCATTATCATCATCATCATCATCATCATCATCATCATCATTATTCCTAATATTACTGCCGACTTTGGTTGTTGTTGTTATTGTTGTTGGGGTGGTTCCTCCCTCCCCAGTCGTATTATTACTATTACTATTATTACTGTATTCACCCCGTCCAGTCCGTGCATTAAGCTTTCCCTCTCTTCCACCCCATTTTCGTTGTCACCGGTTTTGTGGGCGCAATGCTCCTGGCCTTGCATCTCTAAAAACAAAAAGGTGCCAATTGCAGGGTGGGTGAAGTTCTCCTGTTGATTCCCGTACTGTCCGATCGTGGCTCCGTCTCCTGGTTTCACTGGGCGGACCCAGAACACAGTGAGAGTACTACCACTTAGTAGTACCTTAGATCAGCCGGCAGTTCGTCCTGACAGGCAACCACACCGTGACACCTCTTCGTCACGGTGGCCGGGGAGCTCTGGCCGCTTTTCAATGTACTATATTTCCCAATAGCCCTCCATGGCACTTGATTGATGCGATAGTTCTTCTCTAATACCGCTTTCCCTGTCCAGTTTCCCGTGTTGACGCGACGTGTCCTGTCCTCCTCCTCCGCCTTCGTCGAGCCTGTTTCCCCCGCACTTCCGGCCGGTCACCATGGTGCGGTTACCCTTGCCACAACGTCTCAGCAGCCATCTGAGCACGAAAAGCAATAACCCTACTCCCGGTCAAAGCAGGAGTACAAGCCCGATGCGAATGCCTGAGCAGAAGCCGTTAATCCTGAAAGTCTCCGTCATTCGGGTGAGTGAGAATGTCGCATCTACGAGCGCGCGGAGCTCTACGGAAGCTCTGACCACAGTTCCATTGATCCGCTAACCCAGGTCGCATATACCTTCAGGGACGAAATCTTGCAGCTAAGGATCGAGGAGGGACTAGCGATCCGGTGAGTTCCCCTTTATCAACTCAACCATGGAAAAACCAGTCAATCTCATTTTCGAGCCTTGTGGCTGACGAAAAAAAACCTCCTCTTCTGCAGTACTTGGTAGTCACGCTCGGAGACGCACGACAATCAACACCCACAATTCCCAAGACCTTGAACCCAGAATGGAATGTGACATTCGAGATGCCAGTGGTTGGCGTACCGCTGTTGGAGTGCATTTGTTGGGACCATGATAGATTTGGCAAAGATTACCTGGGCGAGTTCGACATAGCACTGGAAGATATCTTTCAGAACGGTGACGTTCATCAGCAGGTAGGCGCCCGCTTCGTGTGGCTTGGATCGAGCTGAGCTGACATATGCCCTCAAGCCAAAATGGTATACACTCAAGTCGAAGCGAAAACCAACTAAAAAGAAGGACAGTATGGTCTCTGGGGAGATTCTTCTGAAATTTTCACTCCTCGACGCATCGAATCCGAACGCTTCGCCAACGGACACCTATCACAAGTTCAAGACGTTGGTGTCTTCTGGAGATGAGGAGGATGATTTCCCGCAGATCCCGTCCATCACGCTGGATGATGTCGACAGAGAGGAAGAAACCTCGGATGAGACAGACGACCCTACGAAGCCTGAGGTCGTCGAGAAGAGAAGACGCAGATTACGGCTCAAGCGCTTGAAGCGCAAATCTCTTGCCGCTAGAGCCTATCAATTCTCAGGTGCTGGTAACGGAGTACAGGGTATCGTTTTCATGGAAATTGTCAAAGTGACAGACCTTCCGCCGGAACGGAATGGTAAGACGCGCCACCTCCTATGGCCCCTACTACTTCTTTGCTAACCCGCAACAGTGACGCGCACTTCCTTTGACATGGATCCATTCGTGGTCACATCTCTCGGCAGAAAGACGCTTCGAACGCCGGTCGTGCGTCACAATCTCAACCCTGTTTATAACGAGAAGATGGTCTTTCAGGTTATGAAACACGAACAATCTTATACTATTGGGTTCACCGTCATGGACAGAGACAAGTTCTCTGGTAATGACTTTGTCGCTTCCGCTTCGTTCCCGGTCCAGACGCTCATAAAATCCGCTCCCGAGGCCGACCCCGAAACTGGCCTATACAAATTCGTCGACCCGAGTCTGGATCCCACAGGGGCCGAGCAAGGTCATTCCAGCCGGCCCTCAGAGATAAGAATTGCCATCAGCAGATCGCCTTCGGCCAACAGCTTGTCAACGTCACCCAAATTTGGCACAACACCCAGAGGTTCTTCTACTTCCTTATCAAGTCAGACACTGCAGGAACAGTCTTCAACATTGCTACCTCCCCGGAGTATCCCTGAAATTCCCGAGAGTAGCCAGCCTTCAACCCCAACAGCGGCCAGCTTCGAAAAAGATCCGATCGGACCACTCGAGTCGAATGGCCTTCAGGTCTATCGGATACAACTAGCCCTGAAAAACAAAGAAAGATGGGAAGATAAACACTTCCCTGAACTATTTGTCAAGGCGAAATACATGCCTTATCGTGCACTGCGGCAGCAGTTCTGGAGACTCATGCTTAGACAGTATGATGCCGATGAGAGCGGCCGGATCGACAAAGTTGAGCTCACGACAATGCTTGACACTCTTGGGTCAACCCTGAAGGAGTCTACGATCGACAGCTTCTTCGAACGGTTCAGCTCGGAGAATGAGCCCAGTGATACTATGGATCTGACATTCGACCAGGCTGTGATATGCCTGGAAGATACACTTCAGGCTCTGCAGAAAGACCCCGGCTCACCTCCCAAGAAACTCTCGCCCACGCCGTCGACCGCTAGCCGCGAGAGTGATGAACAATCAAGTGGTGATGAACTCACCATGGAACCTCGCTTACACAATGCCAATCCTCAGACTACTTCAGTACCGACATTGTCGAGTGATGAGCAGCCGAGTTCCACGGAGGAGGACCTCCTTCCAGATGACCTGGGAGATGAACGAGGTGTGGAACACGTTATCGAACTCCGAGAATGTCCTCTATGTCATCAACCGCGCCTCTCTTCACGCTCAGATGCCGACATTATCACACACATTGCTACCTGTGCCAGCCGGGACTGGAGACAGGTAGACAACCTCGTCATGGGTGGATTCGTAACATCGAGTCAGGCCCAGCGCAAGTGGTACACCAAGGTGATCACCAAGATCTCCTATGGCGGGTATAAGCTGGGTGCCAACTCAGCCAACATCCTCGTTCAGGATCGAATCACCGGCCAGATCAATGAAGAGCGTATGAGTGTCTATGTCCGGCTGGGAATCCGGCTTCTATACAAGGGCCTCAAGAGCCGAGAAATGGAAAAGAAGAGAAGTATGATTAGGCACTTGTTGCTTTTAGCCTGACTCGCACATAACTAACCGTCTATCACAGTCCGCAAGATCTTGAAGTCGCTCAGTATTAAACAGGGCAGGAAGTACGATGACCCGGCATCGGCCAGTCAAATCCGGGATTTTATCAATTTCCATCAACTCGATATGTCAGAGGTCTTGCTCCCAGTGGAGAAGTTTAAGACCTTCAACGAATTCTTCTACCGTGCCCTCAAGCCCGGTGCTCGGCCCTGCTCAGCCCCTGAGGAGCCCGGAATCGTAGTATCGCCTGCCGATTGCCGAGCGGTCGTGTTTGACCGCTTGGAGGAAGCGACCGGAATCTGGGTCAAGGGTAGGGAGTTCTCCGTTGCTCGACTTCTGGGCGACGCATATCCTGAGGATGTGCAACGCTTTAAGAATGGAGCGTTGGGAATCTTCCGTCTCGCGCCGCAGGACTACCACCGCTTTCATATCCCCGTGGACGGTGTCTTGGGCGAGCCCAAGACCATTGAAGGTGAATACTACACTGTCAACCCAATGGCAATCCGTTCTGCTTTGGACGTTTATGGCGAAAACGTGCGAGTTTTGGTACCCATTGATTCGGTTGCTCACGGCCGTGTCATGGTCGTTTGCGTGGGAGCTATGATGGTGGGAAGTACGGTCATTACACGGAAGGCGGGAGAGAAGGTCTCCCGGGCTGAAGAGCTTGGATACTTCAAGTTTGGAGGAAGCACTCTCCTCCTTCTGTTTGAAGAGGGTGCTGTGAACTTCGACAGTGACCTAGTGGACAATTCGAAGGGTCCTTTGGAAACATTGGTAAGCAATTTTTCCATACTAATTCTCATACGTCGTCGGTGCTAACATGCCCTGTCCGTTGCAGATTCGAGTCGGCATGTCTGTGGGCCACAGCCCTGGCGTCGCTCAATATGAGCCCGACATGCCGAAGAAGACCGAGGATGTCTCTTTGGAGGAGATGCAAGCCGCCAAGCGCCGAATCGAAGGCAGTCTGGCACCACCGACTGATGCGGCGGCCTTTGAATAGGAAAGGACCAGCGCGTAACATGCGTGTTATCTTTCCGCGATTCTCTTGAGGTGACTCAATTGAAGGATGATTCATTTCGGGCGTTTACTGGTACATGATCACGGCCGGGAGCCGTCATAGCGATTTGCAGCACACTTGTAAAGAATACTTACCTACCATGACGAAGCCGGACGACTACTGGAAGCAAGCAATCATGCGGGGCTGTACACATTGATTAGATACTAGAATATACGTAATGGACATAGTTGCAAATATTGAAACTATTATTTATCACAGCTTCGACATAGTAAGAAAGAGTTAAGTGACTCGACTGCATTTCGCGGGCCACCAGCGGTGTCACCCGAAACGGGCCTAGCGTCGTCCCCACGCGCCACGACCAAAACAAGCGCGTGCTGCGGCAACTCGCAAGAGCCAAATCCCCCCCGTCATCCCGACGCCAGAGCTTGGCCCTTCTGCGCAAGGAGCCCTGTGGGAGTTTCTGCCATCCTATCTTCAATC